ATTCCTTGTAAAAAAAATAAAAATTATAATAATAAATACATACATACATAAAATTATTGTATATGACATTTCTGTCACTTCTGAAATGATGGCTACGCCCCTGGTGTGACAAAATGTTAGCCTATACATAATACTTTTAAAGCTCTTTTTTAAAATCTTGGCTTACATAAATTTCTACATATGCCATGTAATGCCATAGCATCATTAAACTAGCATCTAACAATGGACAAAGGTGTTTTTTTTTCTCACTATATGGTTCTCTAACCATAAAGGCTGCTGTGTAATTCGCCCCCTGACTAAGCATTTAAAGAATTTAGGGGAAGCATTTAAATAATCCAGTGAATGCACTTAAAGAATGCAGAATCGAATTGTTAATCGAATCGAATTTAATTGTGAATCGAATCGAATTCAATCGTTCTGAATTTGCAAAAAGTCGTTCTTGAATCGAATCGAAAACATATGAATCGTGAATCGAATCGATTCGCTGTCTACCCAAAGATTCACAGCCCTATAACAACAATGCTGAGAAAGTCTTCAGTGATTTCAGTGGTTTGTTACGCCCCCTGGTGGCCAAAAGTTATAGATAATTTTATTTTACATTTATTTGCTTCTGAAATTTTATCCATTTCTGAATGTTTACTTGTATGCTTAAAACTGCAGTTAGCTACATGTGAAGCTGCAAGCACTGTTTACATCATTAGTGTCTTTATTCTATTGTTCTTGTTTCATTTCTTGTGATTTATTTTTGTTGATTCTTTTTTATTAACTGTTAACTTAATTATTTGAATTATTACCTGATTGTAAAAATGGCTACATGTCATTTCTTCATTTGTTAACATTTAAATTTATATTTAAATATATTGTATTATTATAGAATGGATGGATATAGATATATTTAATATTAATATTATATTATACATAGGTTTTGTTGTGGTGTTGAAATTGGAATCAACACCACTTGTGAAATTGTGAAATTTCAGTGGTTTTGATCTCAACTACTGAAATCAGTTAATCAGTTATTGAAACCCCTATGAGATCATCATCAATAATCAATATGTCTCAATGCTTACAGCTGAACCTCTTCACCCAGTCTAGCATGAGGATGCCGAACTCTCACAGCTTCAACAGCATCCTAAATCAACCCACACGCTATCAGGCAAGACCGCCATCATATCTCTCTCTCTCTCTCTCTCTCGCTCTCTCGCTCATATGATGAATAATCACTGCAGATTTCACCATTATCCATTTCTCTGATCTTCATTTTGTCTGATTCCCTCACACAGCAAATTATGAAGCGTCTCATCAAACGCTATGTACTGAAAGCACAAGTGGACAAAGAAAATGATGAAGTGAACGAAGGTAAAGTGAGACTTACATTGAGATTCTTGTTTGCCATAAAACCAACCAATTGGATATTAAAAAAGGATGATTCTATGATAAAGCTAATATGATTTGGATGTAATAATTCTCAAAGTTTATGTAAGAGTAAGTCTGACAAAAACATGTCCAGGTCATATTGCACCTCATAACTGAAAGAAAAATCATATTTTGATCAGATCATATTTTGATTACAGAATATTAAGTCTATTTAAGGATCATTAAGAATTTGTTCATTTTTATATTCTTTGCATGACAATTATGCATATTTTTACCCCCAAATGTTCTTGACAGTGTTCATATTTTCATATATATTTGTGTTTGATCTGTAGGCGAGCTGAAGGAGATCAAGCAGGATATTTCCAGTCTGCGATATGAGCTGCTGGAGGAGAAATCTCAGGCCACAGAAGAACTCTCACTCCTCATACAGAAACTCAGTGACAAACTCAACCCGCGACCTGTCCATCTACACTGACACAAATCAACGGTGAAGTCATTCTTTATGTGAAATACTTTATTCTATTCCTCTTTAATATGCAGAGATCCCGAGCTTTGTCTGAACAATGGCAGATGAGGGCATAAATTATACGCTTCTCCTTTAAGTTACTGTTAAAGGGATAGTTCATCCAAAAATGAAAAATCTGTCATTAATTACTCACCCTCATGTTGTTTCAAACCTGTAAGACCTTCGTTCATCTTCAGAACACAAATTAAGATATTTTTGATGGAATCTGAGAGCTGTCTGACCCTGCATAGACAGCAATACAACTGTAAAATGTATCTGTAAAATAGTCCATGTGACATCAGGGGTTCAACCGTAATTTTACGAAGCTATGAGAATACTTTTTGTGCGCAAAAGAAAACAAAAAACGACTTTATTCAACAATTCGTCTCCTCCGCATCACCCT